TTATTATTATTATTATTATTATTATTATTATTATTATTATTATTATTATTATTTTCCCACTTTTCCCTCCAAGGCTCTTCTGCGTATTAAATCCATAGAAGTCACATAAGAGCCCATATTAGGGATTATCTCATGGCAATCAATATTTCACACCCTTATTGTGTATGCCGATGGCCATCCAGTAGCCCTTTTTATGGTGATCTGATCTCTCTTAGGCAAGGATGGGCCACAGGATCATCTGCAGGACTACTGTGAAGAATACTCTGGCAATTTGGTGGATAAAGCTGCTCAGATCTGCACCAAGCTGGACTCCAGTTGGGCAAGTCCGGCCAAGCTCAGTCTGGTGATGTGATCTGGGATGAGTTTGAGTTGTAAGACTTGAAGAAAAGGACCAGGTTCTCTGTACTGTAAGTTCAGCCATCTGTTTGTTGGACCCAGGACCCTCCTAGATCATTAAGATGTCTGTAGAGGGGCTGTAGTTGGCCCCATGTGGTGGTGTCGGCCTCTGAGAGATGGGGTGGTGCCTTCTGCCTTGAAGGAGATGGTGGTGTGCCCCCTCCTCAAGAGATCATCCTTGCACCCAACTATCTTAGACAACTACCATCCAGTCTTTCAGCTTGTTGAGAAGGTATTTGGGCTGCAATTGCAGAGGACCCCAGAGGAAGCAGTTTATCTAGACCCATTTCAGTCACATTTCAGTATGGAGACACCCTTGGTCATGCTTGTTGATGACCTGTGGCAGAGCCGGAATGGAGTTGAACATCCATCCTCGTGCTTCTTCATTTCTTCTGTGATCTGGATGGCTTCCACCCTGATGTCATTCCAGAAGACCTAAGGAGCTGCATGTTCTCCTAGGCCTTGGGTTAGGGTAGATGGAACCCCCTTGTTAAATATGTTTATCATATGTTACATATGTTTTGATGTCGGTCATCTAGGTGGCCATTTTGTTAATTTCCCTCATTGTATTTCCATGCATTTGTGTTGTTTTTATATTGTGAACCTCCCAGAGTCAACCTGGAGTCAGAGGGTGCTGAAGTTGAAATAAACAAACAAACCATTGAATGAGATTTGTGTTCACTACCCCAGGTCCCTCCCAGGGCTGTCACATCCCTAATGAGTCATGACATGAGTCAGAAGTACCCTTGACCCTTCCTTCGAAAGTGCTGTGATGGCCATCCACACTTTGAATTAACGTTTGGCTCCTTTGACTGTGTTCTTCCCAGCTGTCCCAAGAACTGTTTGTAAAAGTTGTCAAGGGGAATTCTGGGAGTTGAAGTCCACTCATCTTAAAGTGGCCAAGTTTGCACAACACTGCTTTACAGGACTTTTCAGATTGGCAAGGGTGGGAAGCTAGGAGAGTTTCCAAGTGATGGGAAGCTGTGTCAAAGAACACTCCCAAGAACTGTTTGTAAAAGTTGTCAAGGGGAATTCTGGGAGTTGAAGTCCACTCATCTTAAAGTGGCCAAGTTTGCACAACACTGCTTTACAGGACTTTTCAGATTGGCAAGGGTGGGAAGCTAGGAGAGTTTCCAAGTGATGGGAAGCTGTGTCAAAGAACACAGTACTAGCACTAATTATCCTCCTGTCATCAAAAGTTTCAAATCCTCTTTGTTTTTAAGGAACTGCAAGAATCTTTGGATAGCAGTGTAAGCTGAAGGGAGCTTATGCACTGAGCATCCTCTCTTCTTACTCCCACTGCCAATTTCTATAGCTATTTTTCTGAGCAGTGGGGGCTGTGCTGGGTGTGATTGTCGTGGGATAATTTTTTCATTAGAGAAATGGTAGCTGAAGCTATGGGAGGACCCACTAATGTCCAAAATAATTTCATCCATGAAAAACAAGTGTGATGTTAGTTTTAATTTAACCTGGAAACCATTTACTTTACAGAGTACAATTTTGTACATGTTTTGTGGCCATGTCTGAGAGTTGGGTTCTCTTAAAATAAGGTTCTAAACTCT